AAAACAACATTATAACATGACTTAAAGCTCACAAGAGTAAATTTTGTGTAATATAGGACTTTTAATAAGCATCCCAACAGATACCACCCACCAAGTCTAAGGCTACGTTCAGACTGCAGGGCTTAATGCTCAATTAGCATTTTTTGTGAAATCCAATTTTTTTGCAAAGTCGTTCACATTTCAGATTAAATGTGACTTGTATGTGATCTCCAGTGTGAACTTTAAACCCCCAAAAAGTGTCCCGTATGTGCATAGGAGGACACGACGACGTCACACACAGAGAGCGTGCTCAGTGTTTATGGAAGTTGTCTAAACGCGTAGCCTGATTCATCAGCCGGTTTCAGTTCGTAGAAACAGTCTGACCTGACAGCGTTAGAATTCATTCACTCGACGGTAGGTGCATACTTTTTTTATTTAACAAATCACTGCTATTTGGTCGTAACTTATGTAATGGGGCTAACTGCTGTATTAAGCTTTTCCCAAATCCCATAGGAAGAAGGACCATAACGTCTTTCCCCTTCATAAAATTCACCAAACATTCTCTTTGTTCTGGCTTGACTAGACTCTGAGCCTGATGTGTAGGTGGGATGAATGTGCTTTGGCCGTTCAGACTGAAGTGGCAGGTCAAAAGATCGGATATGTGTCGGTTTTAGGAGCACATATCCAAGTGGCCTGGGTCGCATTTGAAAAAATTTGATCTGTGTCATTCAGACTGTCATTAAAAGATCAGACACAGGTTGCATAGGAGTGAAAAAATCCGATTTGGGTCACTTCAGGCTGCAGTCATAACGCAATGACAATAATTATTTTTTCCAAAATGGTGCAGCTCTACCTAGTCCTGTTTTAGACCTGGTTTAGATCTGGTGATACTTTTCTTAGCATCTACTTGACGTATAAACTTTAAGAACTACTGGTGTATACTATAATAAGCTTCACTTCCATAGTACTCAGGGGACCAGTACTTCGTCAGAGTACTGCGTTGACAGGTAGCGTGCTTCGGCCACGTCAGACCCAAGTGGGACCTAGTCTGGGTTATTCTTGGCCAAACTCACCCACCTCTCCTCCACCCCACTCCCACTTACAGTGGTCCCTGTCTCCGGGCGGGACCTGTCAGAGGAGGGCAGGTGATGCGGAGAGGCAGACAGGAGCAGGAGCAGGCCGGTCCTGTCCTCCTCGCGAAACGTCAAAGGGGCACAGAAGAGCACAGATGACGGAGATTCGGTTGGATTTTTTGGGGAGCTGCAGCTTTATTGAATTTTGAAGGGTTGTGTAAAGGTCCTATATTACACAAAATTGACTCTTGTGAGCTTCAAGCCATGTCAGAATGTTCTTTCCTCCTCAAAAACAAATCTGGAGTTGTGTTTTATTTCATTCACACATCATGATCCTGGTTTATTAGTCTGTCTATATCTGCAAAACCCAAAATGCTGAGAAATGAACTCAGCCTAAATGTGCAGGGTTTGTATGTTACATGTGAATGAACATGTGGATGAAACAAAACACAGCTCCAGGTCTGTTTGTGAGGAGGAAACAAGATTATAACACAGATCAGAAAATAATGTAACATGATCCTTTTAAGGGCCCGTTTACACGAGAACGCTTGCGGGTAAAAACAACAAAATATTGTAACGGAAGTGCCTTTTGTTTAGACGATGATGGCATTTTTGGATCTTAAAATTTTATTATTGTGATAACACTACCCTAGCCAGCCCACCTAGTGCCTCCACTCAATTTCATTTCTCTCCAGCGACTAGGTCAGGAATCGGAATACACTAGACAGTTTGCAAGAACCCTGGATTTACGAGTCCAGACCAGTCAGCGAAGAGTCATATATTCAGTGTTGTCAACGATTCCCGAGATCAAGGATTTAAAGCCTGAACAAAGAGAATGTTTGGTGAATTTTATCAAGGGGAAAGATGTTATTGCCCTTCTTCCTACGGGATTTGGGAAAAGCTTAATATACCAGTTAGCCCCGTTAGCGGCGTATTACATACGTCACGACCAAATAGCAGCAATCGGTTAAATTTTAAAAAGTACCCGTCTACCGTCTGCGAAGTCAGACGGTTTCTACGAAGTGAAACCGGCTGATGAATTAGGCTAACACTACCCAGAACACAGATAGAACCATAAAATTCCAAAGGGACAAATTGTCAATAGCATATTTTGCACAAGAAAACAACTAACTTTTCTGCTTGTGTCCATGGAGATGTTACAGCCTCATCTGTCCCCAGCCCATCTCCATGGAGACAAGCAGGTGATGGACCATCCACCAGAAATGTGCAACAAAATGGAGATGTTGTTATTGGTTTTGAATGTTCCACAGTATGGCATTTCACACTTAAATGTAATTCATAATGGTGTTTTTCTTGCTCAAAAATAAACTAAAAGACATCCATTCTAACTATAAGTGCAATGGCCTTTCCACAGATCTAACCTCCATAGAGATAGTTAATACAACTCAGACAAAAAAATTGCATCTCCATGGAAACAAATAGAAAGTTACACAGTGCACCTGTGGAATCACACCAGCCAACCTGTGGGCCAGTGGATCTGACCACTCAACCAATGATGTTTATATTGAGAGTGGGATTCGAACCACAAACCTTCAGATCAGTGGACAAACGCTCACACCAACTGATGTTACCGACCTTAAAAAGCTCAATTTATGAGAAATCCAGCTTCAAAAAACGGTGAAACCATAGTGCTTTTTGATTGAGGAAAAGGTCATTTTAAGGGCAGACACTTTTTTCAATTTTCCGTGATGGAGGACAAGGGAACGTCCATTCTCCTTTTGTGAAAGATCATGGAGCCCTGATCTGTCTGCTAGGACTGAGACCGATGTGTTCAAAGTCCCTGGGAATTCTGAAGGCTGTGGAATTTAAAGCCATCGACAGGAGAGGACAAATCCAGGTGGAGCTGTCCGTGTGTGGTTAGACCGTCTTGACCTGGCAGCTCAATAATACAAGACAAAAAAGTTTAAAAAAATTACTGGATTTCGATTTATGCTGGTGTGAAAATAGATGAAAAAAATTTAAATTTTTTTACAACACTTTCCGATTTTCTCAAAGTACTTTACATCAAGAAACCACTCACCCATTCACACACACACATTCATACACCAATGTGTATGGCAAGGTGGGTTAAGTGTCTTGCCCAGGGACACAACAGTATTCATCTGTGGGAGCTGGAATCGCACTGCCAACCTGTGGGCCAGTGGACAATCAATGAGCTACTGTTGCCCCTTTATTTAAAACACTGTATTTATCCATCTTTTAGCACTTGTATAGACAAAACACAATTTTGGAAGTGAAAAGTAAAAAAAGGGAAATTAATAAAATAAATAAAAAGGATATTACACAAATTACAATAGAAATAAAATAATAAATAATACAGTTTTGACTTGAAAATTAATTCTGCAAAAATACAAAGAAAGAATAAAATCATAAAAATGAAATTAAACATGCAAAGTGAAAAGTCAGTTCTTAATTTAGATTTCAATTCTAGCTTATTATGGGCTGACGGTGACCTCAGTCTGCTCAGAATGCCCCGGACGCTGGAGTTCTGTCTGGGCAGCTCCTCCTCGCACCCTCCATCACGCCAGAGAGGGCTCTGCTAATTTGATATCAGACTGACAATTAAAGCAGGACTTCACTAATCAGACCTCTGGCCTTTTGTCTCCTCACACACTCACACTGTTCAGAAATAAATATGGAAAAGGATTCTACTGTATTTCAGTACGCAGCTCAAATTCATATTGTACTACAAGTTGGTCTATTAGTTCGATCTTGGTCTAATTGTTGTGACTGATAATCGATATTTGCAAGAATTATGGGAGGGCATCTCAACATGTAGCAACAGTTAAAGGTCCTTTATTATGCGAAATTTATTCTTTGTGAGTCATTTTTTAAACAAATTTTAAAGGGTTATTTTGTGTTCTGTTACAATGTTGTTACCTCCTCAAAAACAGACTTGGAGTTGTTTTGTTTCATTCACACATGTTTGAGTAACCATTTATTATCAGCCTGCCTCCAAAGCTCAAAATACTCTGTTCTACACAGTGTAAATTTGCAGGTTTATGTGTTAAACATGTGTGAATGAAACAGAACACAAAATAGAGTAATATGGACCCTTTAAAATGTGTATTTGTAAAAAGTTGGTGCAATTGTCAAATCATGTGAAAAAAATGTTAAATACTGACCAAATGTATGTTTAAAGGTCCCATATTAGACTATTTTCTGGTCTATGTTATAATGTTGTTCCCTTTTCACAAACAGACCTGGAGTTGTGTTTTGTTTCATTCACATATGTTTGAGTAATCCTGGATTATTATTAGTCTGTCTATGTCTCCAAATCTTAAAATACTCTGTTCAGTGTAAATTTGCAGGGTTTATGTGGTAACACATATGTGAATGAAACAAATTACAACTGCAGGCATGTTTTTGACAAGGAAACAGAACAGAAAATAGCATAATATGGGCCCTTTAAAATGTATATTTGTAAAAAAAAAAAAAAAAAGATTATGATTATGCTGATTGTGTTAACATATAATTTCAGTTGGCGCAATTGTCAAATCATGTGAAAAAAAAGTGCTCAATTGTGTTTGCAAACGCCATAAAACCTTCACTAGAATCATTTGGATAAGTTCAACCCTGGAATTGCCTATTTCTACTGAACTAAAGTTAAAAGGAGCTGTTAACTTGAAAACTACCACTTCATGACATCACAAGGTGGAAAAGAGCATTTGGAGCTTTTGAGATATAGACGGACTAATAATACAGGGTTACAAAAACATGTGTGAATGAAACAAAACACAACTCCGGGTATGTTTTTGACAAGGTAACATTTTAACATCTCTTAAAAATCACAAGAATCCATTTTGTGCAATACAGGACCTTCAAAAGTGAATAAAGTAACAAGAATGCACAGTATTTATACATTGTCCATCCCTATATCATTTCTTCAGTCTGATAAAATACTTGTTGTGTGTTTTGTGTTCCCAGTGTTTGCCAATGCGTGGTTATGGTTTCGTTCTGGACAAGTACCAGTGCCAGTGCAAGAGAGGCTTCTACCACCCCAGCAGAGTGGCAATCAACAGCTTTGAAAGTAAGTCACCAATACAAGTACATACTTCACTTTGTACTATGAAATATTGAAACTATAACTGGATACAAGTCTCGGTGTGAGTTAGACAGAACAAATCTCATGGCATAGTAAGTAAGTAAGTAAGTAAGTCTTTATTTATATAGCGCTTTTCACAGACATTTTCTGTCCCCAAAGACGCTTTACACAGCATAGGTATTAGCAATGTCAGCAACAGCGAGAAATTCTGTGGTTCAATTCTAGACAATATACTGTAGATCAGCTGTGGTCTGTTTGCCAGGGGCGTATCCACACATTTTTCACTGGGGTGGCCCAGGTGGCACTGGGGCAAAATTTTAAAGAAATCATCCTATGGTTTTTCTGCTACTATACAGTTATACTCTATGATACATGTGGATAGGTTTTTTTTATATTTTGGAAATCACTATACTGCTCTAAAACAACTTAATAAGAGAAACAAGTCCGCTAAATTCCACTTGAAAACACCTACTTACGGTGTTCATAATATAATTTCAAGCAACAATTAAACAGTTTGAGCCATTTCCTTATGTTTGTTATAATCTGGTAAATGTGAGTAAAAATGTATAGAAAGCCTGTGCAAACCATGTGTACCCCATAAATACACTTCTCTGTGTGCATGTAGCCCAAAACACCCACTAAAACTGAATTCTCTTTGCCCAGAATGTTCTACAATATGATATTAAACTTCTGTCTATCTCAGGTTATAGGTCAGACCTGCACCTTTAACATGAAGATTTCACATATACGAAGATGTAGAACAAACATTTACTCTTTCATAGTTTTCAAATCTTAAAGAGGAACTAAACACTAGATCAATTTCTTTTGCTACTAAACTGTGTATATGATGTTTTAATTGCAATGTCTACTGTTCAAAACTCATAGCCTGATTCATCAGCCAGTTTTACTTCATGGAAACCGTCTGACCTCACACCATTAGGATTCATTCGCTCAACATAGGCGGATACTTTTTTTTATTTAACCAGTTGCTGCTATTTGGTTGTGACGTATGTAATGCACCAAATCCCGTAGGAAGAAGGGCAATAACGTCTTTCCCCTTGATAAAATTCACCAAATATTCTCTTTGTTCCGGCTTTAAATCCTTGATCTCAGGAATCGTTGCCAACACAGAATGTATGTCTTCATCTACATCCATCTCGACCGCTTTGTTTACTGTTGCGCTGTACCACAAAAGGGACCCAGACAGGCGCTTGAGTTTAACGTCATGGCTTCACAGCTCTTCACTGACTGGCCGGTGCACGGTCTACAACTTCTGGGGTTCTTGCAAACCGTTTAGTGTATTCCGATTCCTGACCTAGTTGCTGGAGAGAAAGTAAATTGAGCGGAGGCACTAGGTGGCATCAACCTGACGACAAAACTAGTGCAATCTAGGTAAATTTGTACTTGCTTTGTGTTCAAAAATAGTCAAAAGGGGTGCAAATTTCAAGTACTAAGTGACATCACACAGGACTGCTTTGATTACAGCCAGGTTTTTCTGATTACAAACACATGGCTGCAGCGGCGGAGTTTGAAGAGTGGATATCTGTTAGACCTGTTCTTTATACCCCCTGACCCCGCCCCTCGTCGATCTCATTCTCCCTTTTAGGGCCTGTTTACACGAAAACACATGTGGGTAAAAACACTAAAATATTTTATTGGAAGTGCCTTTCGTTTAGACGGTGATGGTGTTTTTGGGGCTTAAAAACGCAAAAATCTGAAACCACCCTCCAGAGTTGAATATGCTTTGCTGTAGCCTTTCCGTCTACACTGCCCAAGACGCAAAACTCTGGTCAGATCTGCGCACATTGCATACGCGTTTACGTCACATACATACAGTACACAGAAACAAACATGTCGGATGGCATGCATACCCAATCGCATTCCACAAACTTTTGCCTCACCATATGCACGCAGATTTCCTCCCAAATACGCTTGTCTAAACGCAGAATAAAAAGTGAAGACGACGCCACTTTTGCATCTGTTCAGATCGTCATCATATAAACGTAGCCTCAGTCCTCCAGGCCTCGCTCCTCCTCCCCTCTCACTCTCCCCTTTAGTTCTCCAGGTACTGCCAAGTTTATCAATCCCTATTTGCAATGTGGTTGTGGGTGGAGTTTAGGCGTTTAGTCCCACTTATATTATTAATATTATAACCAATTGTCCATTTATATTAGCCCTTTTATATTGTCTGTCACTTTCCAACCCTTTCTATAACTTGAATCTAATCCTATTCCAGCTGCCAGTCAACTGCAGGCCCCAACAAAGCCATGAGTCAACAGCGCCCAGCTCCTAAGTCCTTCTATTTGCAGATGAGCCGTAGCCCTGAGAAATGGGACGGCTTCTTTTTAAAGGCAAAATCCCTCAGATCTGGTAGACAATGGCCCTCAAAGCTCCTCAAAGTCTGGATCTGTCATGGGTTCTGTGCAGGGCCAAAGGGACAGCGCCGTGGGAGTCCTACAGCGAGTAAAGACAGGTCTATTAGAGGAGGACGGGAGGAGTTTTGACCCAGTTTGCGCAGGCTATAGAACTTTGTGTTAATGATTTTGACTTCACTTTGAGAGCGGATTTACACCTCGAGTTGTCCACTGAGACTGAACTATAAAATGTGTTTAAAAGAAGGAGAATTAAAACCTTAAAAAGTACGCAAGGTCAAAGGATGATAAATAAAGATTTATTAGAAGGAAGACTCTTTTAGTGTGAAAAACAGAACTAGTTAATTTTGAAACAGTTATTCCTCACTTACCTTATGCATTCAAAGCATCCTAAGTATTCATGACAATGAATTTATAAGTGGTTTTCACAACTTTCAGAGATGAACGCGGACTCTTGCTGTCATTTGCTGTCATGGTAAACCTGACATGCCAACGTATACTTCCTGATTACTGGACAACAAAACACTTTATAATCAGTTGCAGACAGCACACAGCAGACTTAGTTTGACCTCAAAAGCTGCTTATATGATGTATTTATTAGAGCAAGTCATATTTTTAAGTTAAATTTTAGCCATATGTTCAATAATGTTGTTAGCGTATGAATGTTTTTGGATTAGTGTTTTATATTTATAGGGTTCCCACTCTTTTTCACTGTCAAAATTTCTAAACTTTTTCATGACTTAAAGTGAATTTTCCATGACTTTACGGCACCTACTTGTGTAGGACTGATCAGACTTTTTGGGCTAAATATGAAATGTTAACCCTTTCCACTCACCTTATGGTTTGGGATTATAGTTTTTTAACATTCAAAATACTGTCAGTGCATTAATTGTCATCGCTTTTAAACAAAAGGCTCATACATTCAGAAATAATCATAATAGCCTCATGATAAGTTAACAGAGCGCTATAGTTGCGTGAAAGAGATTCTAAAATTCCATGACATTTTCAGAACTTTCATTGAATTTACACAACTCCATGACTTTTCGAGGCCTGGAAAAAGACATTTTCAATTTCCATGACTTTTCAAGGAGACACACATGAGGAACTAAAAGTAAGTTTAGAGTTACTTATTTTTAACACTTAAAACTGGATTCACAGCGCGGTTTTGAGGATTGGGTGTCATTATTTGCAGGTGTCATCATTTTCCATGACTGTGGGAACACTGTATTTACTTGTCAAAAAGAGCTGCAGATGACTCCATTGTTAACAGTTTAGTATGTATCGCCTCTAAAAGAGCATTCATTTTATTCATTATTTGGTCTTAAATTTAGCACAGTTTTGTTCTGATGTGGACTACATGCTGTTTAGCGCCCGGAAACCCACCCCAAAGTGTATGATCAGAATGAGGAGTACCTAGCTGGAAGACGAGCCAACTTAGTGTTATAGGCTCTTTTCACGCTTACGTCACAAACTAGAAAGACATTTGGAAACATGCGATTACAACTTCCAGTGTAGTTCCTGACACTCGCCGACCAACTGTGATCAAACCCACTGAAGTAAATGTGCCCAGCGGTAAAACAAAGACTGCATATGTATGTGCTGTTTGGAATCATCTGGAATTTGACACCCTCTTCTCATCTAATTGCATGCACCCAGTTCGCTCGGAGTTGTATGTCAGTGGGGAAAAGATGAAAACTGAGGTATGGTTGTAACTGCTGATTAGCCGAACATACTGGAACACTCTAATGACATGGAGATAAAGAAAACTGGGATATTTTCTCATTTTTCCTAGATTTTGTCAAACATACTACCGTGAACAGAACCCGCCAGAAGTTGTCATTGCATGTTTCCAAACGTCTTCCTGGTTTGTGATGTAAGCGTGAATAGAGCCTATAAGAATGTAAAGATATTTTGGTACGATACTTTCACTATATACATATCATATTGGCACTGTAATATTTTATAGAGGCTAACAAAATTGTGATTATGCTAGTTGTTAGGGGTGTAATGGGACATGTATTTGGGCCGAACCATTTCAGTACAAGACGTTTGGTTCCTTGCGCAGCATTGCATGAGTACCTCTACATGTGCAGCTACAGGGAAGGCTTGGCTCTTTAATATTCTCAAGGGAACTCATCCGTGATTGGGGTGGCAATGTTGCCCACAGCACTTTATAGTTAGGGAGGCCACCTTGAAAACAATTGGCCCCTGTCCTGACTACGTCGCTTCAAACCACATGAATCCTCGCAAAACTACAGTCGTCATGCTGCGTTCCTCACTTTCGCCTACTTGTTCTACTTGTTCCTTTTAAAATACCTTGACAAGCCTTTGGTTCTGTCAAAAGTAAAATTTAAAAGTTCTTAATACTAGTTATCTTTCATCTAGCCTGCACCGAAACAGACTAAAGGATCATGGTCTATTGCTGCACCAAAACTGTGAATTGAAGCAAATAGACTTGTAATTTGGTATATTGTGATGGCCCATGATATTATTGAGACTATATATAAAACTCCTTAAAACACCAGATTCTACCCTTTTCTCAAATCCAAATTTCTAGTTTCAACTGACCTCCCCAAGGAAACACTGTTCTTTTCTCCACCTGCTGTTGATGCGTTTGTGGTAGGGTGTGTGTGGTATGAGTGTGTGTGGTATGAGCGTGTGCGGCTGAGCTTGTGTGTTGACTTTGCGTATGGACACGTATAGATCGGCTCGGTGCTGTTGACATGATGTCGATGAATCCTTGTAAGGTCAGGGAGGGATAAGCTTCCATATACTCGGCTCTGTCATCCTGCCTCTTCATCTGCTCCGTCCTCACATCCCCCAGATCAATACAGCAAAGAGCACTACTACTCACTACTCACAGGCAAGAGTGGAGGCAAGAGTCAGGTTTAAGTTGGACCATGTGGTGATGTCTTCATTTCAGATAGAGGGCAGATATGAAAGTAGGTATAGACGTCATCGCCCAGAAAATCCACAAATATTGAAGTCCAGTTTTATGCCAAATATATTCACTGTTACTGTTACATGCTACTCCATAAACAGAGGTTGACTGTAGCGTAAAATAAAGGTAGTAAAGTAATGTACTTAAGTAAAAAATAGCATATATGTACTTTACTTTAGTACGTTTTAAAGTGGATCCTCTTTGCTTTTACTTCACTACATTTGAGATCATGTATTTGTACTTTCTACTCTACTGGACTGAAAAGTAAAAGTTTTTTCCATTATTGTCTGAGACCTGACGAAAAGGCTGGGGCTTACTTTGACAATGTTCATAGTCTGAGCAAACAAAAATATACAAATAAAAACTGCTATACAAAAAAATATCAAAAGTGCAGTTGTTACTATAGAACAAAATTTAGCACAAATCTTTATTAAAATCACTACATTTGAAGCTTTATTGGATCTCAAAGTCTGCATGAAATTCTGTTACTTTTTACTCTTTAAGTACGTTTTTAAATGGGTACATTAATACTTTTGCTTAAAGGGACAGTCCAGAATTTTGGACATAGGACCTCATTTCCTAGTGAGCCAGAGTGTTGGAGACGTGTGGAGACACTTTTTAAAATATTCCATCCAATCCTTGTATTTGCAGAGGTCACTGGTGTTAGGCTAGTGCATGTCAATGGCCATAGTTATGCTGCCACTAAAAACAGTCTTAAAACACTCCACAAAGCACTCAAAGCAAAACTATTATTATGCCAAACTGTTGATGTAAATGTCTGTGTTGATAGAATAATGTTTGAAATAAAACTAATCTTGCATCGCAGGAATCGTTGAGGGACTATTTTCTCAGCAGCAGCCGAATTTTACTGTCGGTAAGATAGGTGCTAGATGATATCAGTCCGCCGCTGCCAAGCTTTGTATCAGGAAGTACAACTCGCTACTACTGCTCAGACATATATCCTTCAAATGCAAGGTTAGTTTTATTTCAAAAATTTTTCCATCGACACAGATATTTACATTGACAGTCTGGCATAATAATAGATTTGCTTCGGGTGTTTTGTGGAGTGGGTAAGACTGTTTTTAGTGGCAGGATAACTATGGCCATTGACATGCACTAGTCTAGCACCAGCGACCTCTGTAAATACAAGGACTGGATGGAATATTCAAAAAGTGTCTCCACACGTCTCCAACACTCTGGCTCACTAGAAAATAAGGTTCTATGTCCAAAATTCAGGACTGTCTCTTTAAGTAGATTTTGTCATGTGATACTTTTACTTCAGTTTTTGTTTTTTTGTTTTTTTTTTTTGCTCAAGCATCTGTAAGTATCAACGTCACGTACTTCTTCCGCCACTGTCCATAAACTGAACAAGCTTCCCCTGCATTGTTCAGTTAATCACATTTGATATAGTTACTGTACTTGATTGGTATGACAGTAGCTCAGTTGGTAACAGTGTTTGTTCACTGATCCGAAAGTTTGAGGTTCGAATCCTTCTCTCGACGTAAACATCACTGTTTACGTTGAATGGTCAGATCCACTGGACAACAGGTTGGCCGGTGTGATTTCCAGCTCCCACAGATGAATGCTGTTGTTGTGTCCTTGGGCAAGACACTTAACCCACCTTGCCCCACTGGTGTATGTATGAGTTGGTGAGTGGTTTCTTGTTGTAAAGAGCTTTGAGTGGCTTGAAGTTGAAAAAGTGCTGTATAAAAATGTGACCATTTACCAAAGCCACTGACCCACAGGTTGGCAGTGCAATTCCGCCTCCTACGGATGAATGCTGTTGTTGTGTCCTTGGGCAAGGCACTTAACCCACCTTGCCCTCAGTGTCTGCGTGCACTAGTGTGTGAATGGGTGAGTGGTGCGCTATTGTAAAGTGCCTTGAGTGCCTTGAAGGTAGAACAGCGCTGGATAAAAATGTGACCATTTTATGATTTCCTGTCTTAAAATGTAAAAAAACAGATCTTGTTCATTTTAAATAGTTTGCAGCGGTCCAAAGTTATTCCTCACATACCGTATGCGTTCTGAGCGTTCTAATTATTCACCAGGATGAGTTTATAAGCGTTTTTCACAACCTGAACCTTCTCATTGGACAATAAAACGCTTTCATAAATTTCATAATCACCACACAGATTTGTCTATATGAAAATGTAAAGCTGTGGATTTGCAGAGGTAAGTAGAGATCTGCCCTAGTGAAGTCTGTGGTGTTTGCGGTGTTTTATGGTCCTGGAGCACAGTGTAATGATTGGACTGGGGCCTGATGAGCTTGTTCATCAATACCAACTATGGCCCTCACTCATTCTCCTCTTTAAATATTAGTGTTGGCTGGAGGGAGCATGGAGAGAGCGGGGATGTAAACACGGCCTGCTGCTTTCATCTGAGTCACAGCAAAACCTCCTCTGTGTTTTTATGCTCCATTCACTTTTAGAGCTCACATTTCCTTCATCACAGATAAAACGCTTAAACCTCAGCAGCTATTGTTGTTAGCCTCATTATGACCACTTCCCTCTTGAGATTTAAATCAATTGGGAACAAAAAGTCAAATTCAGGTTTCTGTTCATAAATACACACAGAGACATGAGATATGGTGCACAATCTGTTCATATAATATTTTTAAACAACAATCTTTAGTTTATTATACACTGCAAATAGTAATATAATATAAGAGAGATGAGGACTTGCAAGTCATGACTTGGATTCAAGTCAGATTTGAGTCACTATTTTTAGGACTTGAGACGTGACTTGATAAAATGGACTAAGACTTGGGATTCAACTTGGGATTTGACTTGGACTTTAGGCCCGTGACTTGAAAAGATTCGATGCTTCTCCTAAAAAAATGTATGTTTTTAGAAAATACTTTTCTCTTTACAGTTGATAAATGCAGTACTGTGATATTGTATCCTCAAATGTACTACAGTAATACACAGTATTATACAGTAATACATAGTACAGTGCAGTAAAACAGAGGGTACTACGGAGAACTACATGACAAAATAACTGTTATTTAGCACTTTTAAATCTGTATTCTTTCTATTCTGACCATAATGATTCACATTATGAATAATTTCTTATTCATATCTTATTCATATATAAATAAACCATGACTTTTTAAGTACAGTTTAGTTTAAAATTCATATAAATTGCAAAAATCTAAGCTATATTTGGTGCTTTGGTTTAAAGACTTGAAATGACTTGAAGCTCAAAGCAGACGACTTGGACTTGACTTGGATTTATGGGACAGTGACTCAAGACTCGACTTGGACTTGCCTGTCTTTGACTTGGGACTTGAATTGGACTTGAGGTCAAAGATTTGAGACTTACTTGAGACTTGCAAAACAACAACTTGGTCTCATCTCTGTACTATAATAATAAGAAGAATCAAAGAACATAATTTATGTGACAACAACAACAAATAAATCTGCCTGAGGTGGAGCTAACTACACTGAAACTACTCTGAAACTAACGCACCTACTTGTTTACAGTGTCTGTTTGTTTATTTGCTCGCTCTATTGAACTGCACGAGTAGTGTAGTTCACAAGTGTGAACTGCCCCTGAGTCATATTTGCATAATCGTTCAGGCCCCTGATGGGTGCTCTCACACCTTTTAGCATATTGGATATTAGCGTACGGGTTATTAGCATACTGGTTATTAGCATACTGGCTATCACTTTCCTTGTTTTGATTTAGGTCTGAGGATGGGGCTGTTAATAGGAGATAAATGATGTCTAAGCTCCACATTTCAAAGATGGATTGTCATTCAAAAATAGCCTTTTTAACTCCCGTCTCAAACCATTTCTTTTCTCTGACTAAGATCTGTACTTTACTGTCCTCAAAGGTGGTTAGAGGCAGAGTCAATAGCTGGTTGGAGGATTGAATCTGTTTTTTCCACACACACTTGATTGTAGTGGGAACGGTACCCCAAAATGTCAAAACTGTATACAATGAGCACAGGTTAGTGCTCATGTTAAAACAAATAAAAGATCACCGAGAAGCATAAGACGCACACTGAGAGAATATTTTGTTGAGTTATGTTTTTTACTACATGATACCATATATCTTGCATTATATATTTGATCTCTTCTGTTCGTATATCAAGAAAGGAGTCAACACAAAGAAAAAAAAATGACATTGAATAAGAAGGTGTGTCCAACCCTTTGACTGGTAGTGTATATAAACCATAATACTCTTGAATATTATACCTGTCATTCTTGTCTTGTTACAGGGTTGGATAAGAGTGGCAGAGTGGTCGACAGTGGTCCAAACGCAGATGAAGCCTGGTCTAGTGACTGTCTGCCCTGTGCTCCGGGCTGTACCTTCTGTAAGGACGATACCCCCTGTGTGACCCGGGAGGACGGGGCTCTGAGGCTGGCTGTGCTGGGCTTCCAGTGCCTCTGCATGCTGCTCCTCTTCATCAGCATGGTCATCATCTACCACTACAGGAGGAACAAGGTACTCAAGAGTCACTTCTAAAGTGCTGTTTGTGCTAGTTTGAGGTGTCTTTACTTTTTTTGATGGCCACTTCTCATGGCCCAGAAATGTACTAGATTGTCCTTATTCTTACATGGAAATTCCAAGTGACTATAGGTCCCATATTGCCCTATTTTCTCTCATCTATGTTCTAATGTTGTTCATCACAAACAGACCTGGAGGTGTGGGTTTTTTTTTCATTCACACATGTTTAAAACTTGCCTGAACAAATTCAGACTCATCTCTGTCTGTATAACAAATACAGAGAGATATCCTTCTGGATTTCCAGGCAAGTTTAAAACACAAATCCTGCAAATTTAGTTTGAGTTATCTCAAAGTGAAAACACTCTGTTCCACTTTGTGATGTCATGTGGTAAGCTAATAGAGGAAGTCTTTCACTGTGTTTTTAAACTTCATACTGTTTCACTAGAATCATTTGGATGATTTTAGACCAAGATTTATCAGTTTCTACTAAACTCAAGTTAAAAGGAGCTGTTAACTTGAAAACTATATCTTCATGATATCACAATGTGGAAAAGAGCATTTTGAGCTACGAAAAGTATTTGATCAGTAATACTTTTGTCAAATTAACAGACTTGAATTTCTCCTTTGAGATGGATCCTACCTGAAAGACTGAGGGATTAGACAAACATCTTGAGATTTGGAGATGTAGACAGAATAATAAGAAAGAATTACTCAAACCTGTGTGAATGAAACAAAACACAACTCCAGGTCCTTTTTTGAAGAGATACCAACATTCTAACATGACTTAAAACTCACAGTTTTGTGTAATATAGGACTGTATTCGATTTGTTTTATGGAGGGGTGTCCAAACTATGGCTTGGGGGCCAAATTTGGCCCTCAGACAAATTTTTCTTGGCTTTTCAGTTTGAGAGAAGAACTCAGCATAAATATGCAGGTTGTGTTAACCAGGACTGAACTAGGACTGAACCAGGAGTAAACCAGGACAGGACCAGGACTAAACCAGTGTCATTAGCGGAGTATAAATATATGGACACCACAGTTGCTGAACCGATCACCTCTGCTGATAACATTTGTGTAATAAATACACTAAAGTCACTCTCTCAACCTGGTCTGCCAAAGTTCCGGGAAAAGGTACTTGTTTATCGGGCAACAGACGCCCTGGACAGGAGACAAGAATTTTTCTCCCGTTTGTCCACAGTGTCCAAGAGGCACGTTGGGGCATCTAAATTCAAATGCAAACGTGTCCAACTAGAGGTGCTCGGCGTGTTTTTTGGTGCTCTGGTCTGAACGGACCTTTAAGCTACCTTTTGCAAAGTTTCACATCTTACATCTGTGGGTAAAAGAATGAAATCATTTTACAGATCTTCATGGAGTCTTAATGATAACTTTAATATAGACATTACACATTAAACAAACATATTAGTATCATATGAAAGCAGTAGTGGTGGTCTGTAGTCTCTCCTTTTACAGACCTATTATTCAGAATGCCCCATCTGCCCGTGCTGTGCTCTCTGAAAGCCCCTGAAGGCCTCGTGTCAATTAGGCCACTGTCTGTTGTTACATTTATCACATGAGAGGTGCACAGAGTGGCGGCACTGTCAAGAAAAGCCCTACGGCGGAACTTTCTTTTACTGGACCCACCATATTCCGTTCTATTCAAAAACCGCGCCTGTCGTCTACCAGCGCCCCGGGGCCCATATGCACTCAAAAGGTCTGCCCAAAGTGAAGGCCATTTTGTAAGATGGATGGAATTATGTAATGAAGATGTCTCGTATGTGCTTGGTCCTATAGGAGACACATGTAAGGGGAGAGAGAGTGCATTTATAGGAATAGCTTTTATGTTTAGTTGGTGACGTCTTGCTACATATTTTTATCTCTTGTTTAGCAGTTTATCATAATAGTAGGGTTGTCATCGACTTAAGAAATTCTTGGACTAAAGACGTCCTGCTGATCGATTTGTCAACCAAAAAGGGGGCATGGCAAAAACTCTTCGACAATTCATTACTTCTATGGTCTGACCATGTAACTGCACTCATAATACTACAACTGTGAAAGAGTTCATGCAAAAAGAACTATTTATGCAGAAAAATACTAAGGAAAGGGTGTATTTATTAAGAAAGAGGCAGATTAAACTAGAGATCGACTAGAGATTTTTTTTTTTTTCATGACTGATGCCGATACTGGTTGTTTAGACGCCAGAGAGGGCAATGATTGATAAGCTCTTGGACCGATATGTAGTGCCATTTTTTATTATTTTTGCTAAATTATGTAATTTAAATTTATGACAAACTCACACACAGTCCTTTTTTTACCACATACCTTTAAGAGAACTCTGCAGTCACATTTTGTGCTGGGGTTGTGTGAATGAAACAAAACACAACTCCTTATGATGTGATAAGGAAACAATATTACAACACAGAGGAGAAAATAGCGTAATATTGACCCTTTAAGGCCGATATCTGATATGTTTAAAAGTGCTAATATCTGCGTACACCACTATTATTTTCTGATTCATCATACATTAAAAACAGTTTATAATTGGATACAAACAGCACACAGTGGTCTCATTTCGACCCTGACAGCTGCTTTAATCTGTACTGGGACTAAACAAATGGTATTTTATTACTGTTTTCTTTGGACTATAAGTCTCTCCAGAATATAAGTCGCACCAGCCAAAAATGCATAATGAAGAAGAAAAACACATATAAGTTGCACCGAACTAGGGGTGGGTGATATATTGATATTTTAAATATATCGAGATAGTTTTTAAACTCGATATGAATTCTGACATATCGTATATATCGATATAATGCTTATATTCAATTCTGATTTTGCCGTTTCGCTTGTTTGTCTTCTCTCTCGTCGCCTCCGCCTCCCTGATTTTGTTCGCTCGTGTCTCCTTCACTCCTCACTACCGCCGTGAACGCCGAAAGTTGGTGCCAGTGAAAAGCTTCAAGCACCACGAACATTTTCCACCATTTACAGACAAAACCATCAGCAGCACATCCTCCTATTCCACCGAGTCGCGTCCTTTAGCCCGAAAGAAGCTGAACGAGCTGAGCTGCAGGAGAAGTGCGCTGTTTATGCAAATGAGCCATGCGCTTAAGTTTCGTTTCTGTAAAATGTAAACACACGTGCGCAAAACTGCATTAAACACATTATTATCGCAAACGGGCTGATGTGGCTCTAGAGTCGTTATGCTTTATATATTGTAAAGTTTAGCAATGTAAAGTTTATTTATGCAGAAGATTTTAATTAATAATCTGCTGCAGTGTCACTTGTACAATAGTGTTTGGAATCGTTGGGTTTGATCTGCAGTGGATTGTGGGATTAAACCTCAGAGCTCCTTATGTTGGATAATAACATGGATCTATTAAAATAAGGAACATTCTGAGCTTCTTCTGCTAAATGAGCTCATGGTTCTGGTTCTGGTTTGGATAACAGAGTTAATGCAAAGATGAGCTTGTGTTGAGTTGGTTTATTTATGAATGAAAAGAAGGAAATATGTATTATTTCTTTTATTTTACAGTTAAATTATTATTTATGTAATTAGGGTTTTTTGTAATCTTAAATGTTCCTATATGAACTGCCGACCTCTTACACTAAAAAAAGGACCTTGTGGAATTTGGCAGATTTGTTTTTGCAAGTTTTCATTTTTAGGGGGTTATTTTTTCTTGAACATATATCGAGATATATATTGTATATCGAGATATAGCAAAATATATCGAGATATATTTTTTGATCCATATTGCCCAGCCCTACACCGAACTATAAGTCGCACTTTTTGGGGGAAATTTATTTTGTAAAATCAGAGACCAGGAACTGACATTTCATCATGAAAGTCAAGTTCTAGTAATAACAATAGAAGACAGAACAACAGACTGTTAACGTCACATATGAACAGTTCTCCAGATAACTATAGCATAAACAACAGAACAGAACAAGTTTACCAAACTCTCCATCTCACTCCAAATCAATTAATCCATTGAATTCTTCATCCTCTGTATCACTTCTGAGCAACTCGGCGACCTCCAGAGGTAAACAGAGCGCCGCTTCCTCTTCTGTGTAGCTGTCGTCAGACTCAGCATCAGTTCCAGTTAGAATTATTCCAGCCTTTCTGAATCCTGACAGGATGGTTTCAGTTGTCTTTATAATTTTGTTTAATTTTTTAATTTTCAGTGGTACAGAAATAATGGTGCAATCGAATGACATGATACAGACAGGACACCAGCTCTTTCTGCAGGAGACATGCGCAGTAGAGCCAAGTGACAGTGGTGCATGAGTAACAGGAGCAGCAGATACTGACACACAAGACGAGAGCCTCTCGTGACTGTCAGTGTGAAAATTTTAATATATAATTCGCACCAGAGTATAAATCGCAGGAAACACTGAACCCATTAAAAAAGTGTGAATTATTGTCCAAAAAATACAGTACATGGAAAAATCACGTACAGCCCCTTAAACCATTTTTTGCAATGTCTATAATATGATGTGTTCAGTAATTATACTTGTGTGTGTTCTTCAGAGCATCCGAGCTTCAGGCCTGGTTCTCCTGGAGGCCATTTTGTGTGGAGCCCTTCTTCTCTACTTCCCGGTGAGTCCCATTAACTCATTTTACATTCAATAGTGGCTTTTACCCAAAATGAACACCATATCATACACTTCTGTCATAGAATCCTGCAGGTTATTAGCTGGACACTTGATAGATGTTACTCATTCTGAAATGTGGGATATAATCAACACATTTTGGATATTATTTGAATGAATGTAGACACAAAACAGGAAAGTTTGCTTCAAAAATGATTTATACTAAAATACAGAAATAGTGGAAATGTGGCAAAGTAGTTGTGACATACATACCATACCATCATTCCATCAATCAGTTACCTGTAATGTTAATTTTATATTCTGGCATATTGCAAAATTGGTTTCACGTTAGGCGCTGTACCAGATTTTTTTTTGCCGTGACTATAAAGCTCACGACAACTAGTATGCTAATGCACACTTCCTGATTATGGGACAAGAAAATGCTTTATAATTAGATACATACAGCACTTAGCAGACTTATTTTGACCCCAAGAGCTGCTCATACAATATATCTGTACTGGGCAAGACACATTTTGTTCAGATACATGGAAAAAACATTATGTACAAGACCTTTAAGGTAGTTGTTTTTGGTTGGTGTATCTTACAAATCAATAATTAATCAGCTACCACCATGTACACTCTAGTAATTACTAATAAGTTGTATATTATTACAAGTATTACTATTCTTAAAGGTCCTATATTATGCAAAATTGACTGTTACAATGTTGCTACCTCGTCAAAAACAGACCTGGAGTTGTGTTTTGTTTCAGTCACACATGTTTGAGTAATCTTTTATTATTAGTTTGTCTACATCTCCAAAGCTCAGATTGCTCTGCTCCACCTTGTGATGTCATGACGTGGTAGTTTGACAGAAGAACAATGAAACAAAACACAACTCCAGATCTGTTTGTGATGAAGAAACAACATTAGAACTTAGATCAGAAAACAGCACAATATGGGTCCGTTAATACAACTTCAACTGCATTTTCCAACAAATCCATAAAACTTCATTCAGCGGCTCGGATAATACATTGAAATGCAGGACTGTTAGTAGTAGAGACAGTACGTTCCCGGAGGCAAAGGAGTAGGCGGAGGACAGGGTAAAGTGTGAGTGAGCATAGAACTGGAGCTACAGAATGTCTCATTATTGCAACATGAGTAATCAATAAAAAGGCTTCCGCTATCGGCGCTCTCGCTTTCCCATGGATGAGGATGGAGCCAAGTTTTAGTGAGCTTAGACAATCTGAAATAGCATGAAGCATAGCAATTTGTAGAATACTGCATTTTTTTTTTATTAGAAAACCATACATAGAGGCTCAGGGTAGGTGAAGGGTACTGCTAGACTAAACCAGGTCCATTATCGCTATAGAAACTGCATTCAGATTTTTTGCAGTTGGTTTGTTGTGGTGTAAACTTCTGGAGTAGAGAATATTAGTATGGAGCGAAATCCAAATCCACTTTATTTCTATTTTACAAACAAAGAAGACAACAAAATTCAGTCAAATTAAAAAAAAAAAGCACTATAACACACTATTAAAGTAAAAAAAAAAATACAAGTAAATGTGTAAAATAAATACCTAAAATATCTTTTTTAATGTATTTATTTTGGGCAAGTAAAGATTTACATTCTTATACAATGGAACATATAACATAAGTGAAAGGCGACAATGTTTCAATGTAACATTAGTTGGAACCAGAGTTGATGGAGTCGGAAGCGCTCCCTTGCTCACTTCCTATTTGGAACGTGGCAGCTAGCAGGTTAGCTATGTCCATTTATATATACAGTCTTTCATTTTTTGTCAAAGTCCTCATGTTTTTTTTGCGTTTTTCTATTTAATATGACAAATCCAACAGGGATATAGAAAACACAGAAATTTATACCGCTACTCTGACAATTAGACGTCAATGAGTGCGTTCATATGCACATCAGTATCCCGGTTATGATCAGGTTTTTTTTTACGGTAGCTGGTATTTTACAATAGTAACCAGGATACTGTGGCATGTATACACAGTACCTGGTTACTGCAACATAAAGTTGAGTGCGCATGCGCCCAAGAGGCAAACACTTTTCAGTCTTTTCACAACAACAGTAGCCAAAATAAATAAAGTGACCAACATAAATAAAGTGACCATATATGAGTGAAATGACTGCACTAAATCTGCACACGTACAATCTGCACTCATACGACCTGCACTCGTATGATCACTGAAAAGTTAAACATGAACCATCTCCTATACGATATGACAGAACAGACTCACCATCATCAACACATCCTCTGTCACAGAGAAAACACATATAATTCACTAAATTGTGTCCTTTAGTCCGACAGAAGATGAACCGCATCAGGGCACAAGGAGCGAGCTGTTTTTATCACCGTTTATAGGTTATGCAAATGAGCCATGTGGTTTTAAGTTTTGTTTCTGTAAATCATAAACAAATATGTGAAAAGCTGAATTATATTATCAAACGGGCTGATGTGGCTCTATAGTGGTTATGGTTTATATGTTGTAAAGTTGGGTTTATTTATGCAGAAGATTTTTATTAAGAATCTGCTGATGTGTAGAACTTGTACAATGTTTGGAAACGTTCAGTTTGATCTATGCAGTGGATTATATCTTACCGTTGGTTAGGAGCCTCTCGAGCTTCCTCTGCTAAAGGAGCTCATGGTTGGTATTTTTCCTGGTTTATTAAATTAAATTAAGTTCATTTTTGCACTTGCGCATTTGTAACATTCTGTCAGGAAACTGGAATACTCCATTTGATCATGTACACAGGGATATAAGGATGCTGGTTTCTCAGTGCACATGTAAACAGCATATCCAGAATACTAACATAACTAGAATATGGCTAATAACCGGGATGCTGATGTGCATGTAAACACACTCAATGTCTAAATAGCGGCACATCGGAATAGCAATGGGTCACCAGTGGCAATAATTGTTGTTGTGTCCTTAGGCAAGGCAGTTCACTCACATTGCCTACTATAAAAGTGGTGTGACATTCACTTCCGTCAGTCTGTCCCAGGGCAGCTGTGGCTACAATAGTACTTATCACCATCACAGAGCACAACTTTTACCTGTCCTGTCCAGTTCACAAACCTCGAGTGAGTAATCCACGTCTTATTTAACACTCCTCGGGACAAACTGCTGCTGAACTATTGTTACCATTAAAACCTGTCCACGTGATGCTCCTCGCCCACCTACAACTTATTGATCCAAGAGGCCAACCTGACTCCTCTCTCTCTCCCTCTTTGTCTCTATCAGTTTTCTATCCCTCTCTCCCCGTCTCTTCCGCTCTCTCTGCCCCCTCCCTCGCTCAGGGCACTGGGTAATTGCGCTTTAGTTGCAATCACGTCGGCCTGTTTGCTCGGCCCAGCAGTGAGGGCCCGCTGTAATTAAAGCCAACTGATTCAGAGCGCCCTAATCAATGCAATTTGCCGCGACAAGGTGCAGGAATGTAATGATGTCAGAGAATGGACAGATGAGTTAAAAAAAGAAAAGAGAGAAGGAAGGAAAGAGAGAGCGAGGAAAGTGGTGTCAGGTTATTGCGGCTGTATCCAGCTGGGGTAGTGATGACATCAAGGCTAAAATTAGCTCCTCTGTGCTGGTGGAGAGAGAGGGAGAGAGGGAGGAAGGGAGGAGGGGAGGAGGAGAGGAGGGAGAGAGCGAGGAAGGAGGGAGATAGAGAGAAAGAGCACACGTTCATTGCTCTTCAAATACATTGGGATTGTATTGATGTACTGAAAGAGGAGTAGTGATATTACAAGACAAAGGGAATACTAATTGCGACATAATTTATGCTTTAAACTGTATTACCACTTACTACTACTACTACTACTACTACTACTACTACTACTACTACTACTACTACTACTACTACTACCACTACTGCTACTACTATTACCACCACTACTACTACCACTATTACTACTACCGCTACTACTACCACCTCACTACTACTACTACTACTACTACTACTACTACTGCTACTACTACTACTTCTACTACAACTTTTACTACTACCACTACTTCTACTCTGACTACCACCTCACTATTGTTGCTGCTGCTGCTACTACTACTACTACTACTACTACTACTACTACTACTACTTACTATTACTATTACTACTACTACTACTTCTACTACTACTTCTACTACTTCTGCTACTACTGCTACTTCTACTCTTGCCTGCAGCTTGCCCATTACTGCTCCCTGAACTACCAGCATCTCTACTACTACAGCTTCTATTCCTACTACTACTACTACTACTATTATTAGTACTTTGTCTACTGCTCCTACTATCTGTAATACTAATACGGGAGGTAGCAGTAGTAGTACCACTATGACAGCTACCGTAACTACCACCACCTCCACCATTACTACTATTACTTCTAGCCAATGCACCCCACGAATATTACTACTACAGCCTCTACTGCTAAACCTACTAGTATGTCTGTGATTCTTGGGGCCACAATTTTTCAATGTAAAGCCAATTGGCGGCAGAGTTGATGGAGCCGGAAGCGCGTCCATGCTCACTTCCTATTTGGAACGCGGTGTTTTTGTCAAATTCCTCATGTCTTCTTTTTGTTTTTCTGTTTCAAAATGACAAATCCAACAGGGAATCATATTGACATATCCATATTTGCTGCATGCGACTGTCCCCCTCCTCATGCTATTCAGATCTAAAAATAACTCCACACATTGTCCCACGTGACGCTTCTATTTTAAATAATTCCTTTGTTACTGAGCATCCCGTGTGCTATTGCTTTGTACCTAATACCATTTTTTCCAATTTTCTGTCCTTTCCCCTGAACGTCTCCTGCCACGACTTAGATAAAGAATGAATTCAAACTGCTCTAAAACGGGTTATTTTGGTTTTCTTTTTATGGGAGAAGAGGAGAATAGATTTGGACATGCTTTGGTGGGTTTGAATGGAATGCCTGGATTAGCTGGTGGGGAGGCTTAGGCTGGTGGACAATGTTGTTTTTCTTCCAGTCAAAACAAGAA